TCTAGTAGTGTACTCACTTTTTGAGTACACAAAAAACTCGATATATCGTGATTAAATCGTGAAAGATCGCCAAATTGGTCGATTTTATCGCGATAAATCTCACAATTAATCGGGTGCTAAATCGCGATTAAATTGTCGATTTTTCCCCGATTTTGACGGCATGGGTAGTTTGAGTTCGATCAGACCCGGTTGGATCAGTTCTCACGCTCTTGCTAGCACCGTTTTTATAATTTTTGCATATTTTAAAATTATTTAGGTCCTCTAGTGATTTCTTAACGACGAAATAAAACCCTAAAAAGTCAATAACTGAGCTGAAATCTCCGAAGATTGGTTATAATACATTTTATTACAGAGTATTTGTATCAAGTATATCAAGACTGATGCATTTCTTCAAGAAGTATGAATGATTATTTCTATCGAGCATGAAGGAAATCATGCAGCAGAAATAAAGCATTGCCAGTGTCTGTTAATATTTTTCGTTCACAATGCTATTTACATCTCCTACATTCCTGTTCCTATTTTTACCTATCGTTTTATGGATTAATTTCATAATTAAGCTCGAACTTCGGAATGGCTGGCTATGCTTGGCTAGTTTATTCTTCTATTTCTGGGATGAGACTATATATATTATAGTAATGCTCATATCAATAACAATGAACTATTTTAGTGCACTAGGAATGTTCTATTTACGAAGAAAGATGGATGAAAAAAGACTTCGCTGGCTCCTTATTGTATCAGTCAGTGGAAATTTGATTTTGTTAATTTTTTTCAAGTACACGAATTTTCTCATGGAGATTCTAAATATAATTACTTTACCACGGACAACCTCCACTTCAAAGACTCCCACAATACATTTACCACTTGGCATCTCTTTTTTTACTTTTCACGGTCTTTCGTATATTATTGATGTGTACCGCAATGAAGTTCAAGTAGAATTTAATCCAGTGACACTAGGTCTATATTTTTCATTTTTCCCTCAGCTAATAGCTGGTCCTATTGTGCGTTATCACGATGTTGCACAACAACTGATTGAGAAGCGAAAATTCAACTATAAACAATTTGCTCAAGGAGCTATGGAATTCACAATTGGTCTATCAAAAAAGATGCTTATAGCGAACACAGTTGGTGCCGTAGCAGATGTAATCTTCAACTTACCGCTAGAAAAACTTGATACTTCGCATGCGTGGCTTGGCTTAATGACTTATACACTACAAATTTATTGTGATTTTTCTGGCTATTCAGACATGGCTATCGGTCTTGCTCATATATTTGGCGTTCAGTTTCCT